CCCTAACCCTAATATAGGGGTAAAGCTCCACTGAAAAGAGGGTGATTTTGAAAAAGCCTTCCTTGAGTAGTTTTTTCTGCCCAGCTCATCCTTTCTGCCCACTCTAAACACATTCCAGCCATCAGAATCATGCCAGGACACCTCGTTTTCCTAACCCTAACCCTACCCTGGTGCACATCCCTAACCCTAATATAGGGGTAAAGTTCCACTGAAAAGAGGGTGATTTTGAAAAAGCCTTCCTTGAGTAGCTTTTTCTGCCCAGCTCATCCTTTCGGCCCACTCCAAACACATTCCAGCCATCAGAATCACGCCAGGACACCTCGTTTTCCTAACCCTAACCCTACCCTGGCGCACACCCCTAACCCTAATATAGGGGTCAAGTTCCACTGAAAAGAGGGCCATTTTGAAAAAGTCTCCTTGAGTAGCAAAATCATACCAGGTTTTTGTCTCCATCTTGGCGCTCCTGCTATTCTCACATCCTCTCCATTTCAGCTGATGGTCCTGGATGACTATGCCGATCCGTTTGACACCACACAAGAAGCTAGCGGTCAAACAGGGGAGCTGGAAAGGGAGAAAAGTGAAGGCTACATAGAACCGTATGAAGCACAGAGGTTGCTGGCGGGTGAGGCACCGAACTGATCCATTCTTGTGGGACTTTCTGAAGGCCTGGCACAGAAAACTTTGAAATACGGGGCGCACTGAGGCAGTGAAGTATTTTCCTGTTGGATAACTTACTGCACACTGGGTCTGTCTGTCTGAGCAATTATTTTCTTTCCCTATTGGGCATCTCCCCATGTTTTACATTTGGTTTGTTTTAATGCATTAATTTGGGACACTTACATATCAACAGACGAAGGACGAGGAGACTCTGGGGCTCTGGAGGGCTCCACCCAGCCGCTGCGTCCTCTGCCGCCCCCTCCTCCTGTTGCCCTCAGTCCTTCCCAGCATCAGGCTCTTCTCCAGCGAGTCCTTCCTTCTTATTAGGGGGGCAAAGTGTTTGAGCTTCAGCTTCAGCATCTGGCCTTCTAAAGCGCAGTCAGGGCTGATGTCCTTTGAGCTGGACTGGTTCGACCTCTTTGCAGTCCAAGGGACTCTCAGGCGGGCCCTCTGGCTTAGGGCAGCTTGTCTCTCACGTGAGCCTGTCCTGATTTTAAGGAGTCTGGGGCCGGCCCTTCTCCCAGGGCCCACCGAATGGCTGCTGCGAGAGAGGCCGGCTGGCCCCCTCCGCCTGCTGGCCGGCCAGCCCGCTTTTATTCCCGCAGGCCGAGGCAGGCAAGCACGCCTCTGGCTTAGCACCCTCTTTCTTCCGTTCACGTTGCCCTGCGCTTGGTGTGCTGGCTGTGCTGCCTCGCACCGCATTGCTCTGCCTGCCAGCCGTGCTGCGGGCCGTTGGCGCGGTGGAGTGCAAGGGGCTGTCACTCAGTGCTGGAGAAGCCCTAAGGGGACGCTTGCCTTCTCTGCTGCTAGAGATTCAGAAGAAGGGCTCCAAGGAAGGGCCGCCGCCGGCCGCCACGCCTCTGCACCTGTACGATGACGTTCCCTACGAAGCCCCCGGGGAGGGAGCAGAGCCAGAGGGCTGCTGCCCCCCCGGCGCCCGCTGCCGCTACTCCTGGCTGCCCGAGGATGACGAGCGGCCTTCGGAGGAGTACGACCAGCCCTGGGAGTGGAAGAAGGAGCGCATTTCCCGGGTCTTTGCAGGTAAGCGGCCGGATCTGCACGGTCAGGGCCGACTGCTTTTTTAACTCTCTCGAGAGCCCGGCAGCGCGCGATCCAGAACAGGGGTGGCTCTCTTGACAATTTAGCGCAGTGGGGAGGGGAGGCTGACACATCGATCCCGCTGGCCCCTGGGAAGCAGGGGCCGGGCCCCCTCCCGCCTGCCGTTCGCGGGCAGCTTGTCCCACCTCTGGCCCTCAGCGCTGCTCTCCTGCACCTGTCCAGCTCCCCGCAGAATTCTCTCCTCTTTCCTGATGTTCTGTCCAGTGGAGATCGCGGGGATCAAGGATTTGCCGTGGCCCCCACCGGTCGGCCAGCTGGAGAGCTCTGCCGGCCGCGGGGATGCCGAGGGGCCCCTCGCTCTCCAGGGCAGCGGCGTCAGAGGCTTGCCTGCCAACAGCCCACCAAGCCTCCGGAACAGCAGTGCCGGCCCCCCGGATGCCACAGCTCCGTCCAGCCCCCCGGAAGCCGGTGGTGGGTACCTCCAAAGCAGGGTTTGGAGGGGAAATATCTTTATTGCTGGAGGATCTAGGCATTCGTATTGTGGCAACTGCGCCGTGAATTGCCATGCGTCGTAGGCTCCTGAAGGCTCTGCTGTGGTCTTATTTTTAAAGCTGACGCTTCTAGTCCTTATGATTGTAATGGAATGCCTGAAAATGGGAGCAACCCTTGCTTAAAGACAGAGGGTTACACATCATGTGCGGTTCTTTTAACAGTTGTACTGCATTTTTAAATGGGAAGCAACCATGGTTTTAGGCTGCACCGAGGAACAGAAGGGACTTTTAACCTTTGAGCAGCTTTTTGCCTGCTCAAAATTCCCGTAATTTCACCCCCTTTGGAAGAAATGCAGGGGTGGCAATGTGTCGTTTCAGGTGAATCGGTAAATGTTGAAGCAGTCCCTCCATCTCCTCCTCGGAAGCAATCCTGGAAATACTTGGAATGTGTAGTTTAGTCCTGGGAAACTAGGAGGGGTTTAGGGTGCAGCTTCCATTCATTGGGGGCAAATCTCTTTATTGCAAAACGCTTCCTGCACTGCATTACAGATCTTTATTCATCAGAATTGTGTGCAGTGAGATTACCACTTAATAACACGCTTCTTTGCACGTTCACTTTGCGGCCACGTTGGGACTTGAGTCAGTTGCTTTCCCCTTGCACCTTTTATTCTTTCGCATTATAGCCTGATCTTTCAGGAATCCACCCCCCACCCCAAAGGGAGAAGAGCCTATTTTAAATTTACAACCAGAAAAAGAAGATTAAAATTTCATAGAAATATGTCCCTTTGCCTACAGGAGATCCCTGGTCCAATTCCTGGTATCTCCAGGTAGGGCTGGAAGGAAGCCAAGGTCCGTGTCTTGTAAGGTGCAGGGCAGAACAAGATCACGTCTCCTCGGGGGTTCGTTCTGTGCTGGTGTTCAGTGGGCTGCACAAAGCTAACAGTGGGTCCCATGTCCAGTTCACGTCAAGCGATGCATTTGGGGGCATGACAAGCCACTGGCGACACTCCTAAAACTGTACCATTTACCTGTTTGCAGGTAAACAGTGGAGCATCAAATATATATATTCAGATGGCAAAGCACTTGTAATTGGAAATTTATAACTCCCCATCAGTATATCATTATTACAATATATTCATGCTCTGCCTTTCTTCTCTTGCAAGGAACCCAAAGCATCTTACAAAGCTCTGCTCCTCTCCATCTTATCCTCATGACAACAACCCTGTGAGGAAGGCTAGGTTGAGAGCCTGCGACTTGCCCGGTGTCACCAGTGGGCTCCGTGGCCGAGTGGGGGCTAGAGCCCAGATCTCTTGGGTCCCTGTCCAGCCTCGAGCTTTATGCCACACTTTGCTAAGTACCCGGGGCTCCGTGGAAGTCGCCTGTCTTGTCCATACCGCAACTGACCGCTCAGGGCTCTGGCGGACCTTTCTCCTGCCGGACAGAACGCGCGGCTTGCTCCCCCCGTCCTGTGTCCGCCACGGGCTCCCCATTTCACCCAAGTCTTTCTCCCCCAAGGCATGGAAGCGGCGGACCTCCAGCTGCCCTCCTGCCCGGAGAAGAGCGGCAGCCCGTGCTGGCTGAGCGTGGAGCATGGGCTGGCCTTCGGGGAGCGCGTCAATCCCAGCCTGCCGCTGGAGAGCCAGGCGTGAGTGGCGGGGGGGCAGGGGGCGGGGGGCCTCGCTGGGGCCGCCTCGACGGGCCTCCGCCATGGTGCTTGCCCTCTCCGGCTTGGCAGCGCACGGCAGATGCCACCAGCCGGCCTCACATGTAGTTACTTAAAATCTTATTATTCTGATATTTGCCCCCCCCCCCGCAAAAAAGACGCTCAGAGTGGGCTACAGAATATTTTTTAAAGCCCATCATGAGCCTTGCAATTTGACAGGCACAGCAAAATAGGTGTCATTTCTACGCAAAGCCCAGTGCAAGAACCGCGCACGGTAATTGGTGACCGAGTCCTCGTCTCGGTTTCGCCTTTAATATCTACAGTGGGGGAGGGACCTTTCTTTCCCATTGAGCCCTAAACATGGAAGTAAACCTAACAGACTCTGGAGGAGCCCCTTTGGCTGAAACCTCCCTGGGAGGGTCGTGCCCGGCCCTTCTCGCAGGAGCATCCCACCTGGGGGCGTGGCTGCAGGGGCCAGTCTCATTCTGATGGGATGCCTGTCCCACCCCCCCAGCTGAAAGGCCCCAGAGTGGCCTGTGCAGCCCCCCCACCAGGCTTTCCTGCCTCCCCAGGTGGTATCACGGGCGCCTGAGCCGGGTGGGCGCGGAGGGGCTGCTGCGGCTCTGCAGAGAAGCCAGCTACCTGGTGCGGAACAGCGAGAGCACCCGCGACGCCTTCTCGCTCTCCCTGCGGTGAGTGCGGGCGGGCAGCTCTGGGCACGCTGGGCCCTTGTCGGCCGAGCACGACGCCCCGCCCGCCTCCAGGGATGAGGGCACGGGGTGGGGGGCGGGCAGCCCCGCTGGGACTGGCACGGGGTCCTCACCGTGCCCCGATTCCCTCCCGCAGGAGCAGCCAGGGCTTTCTCCACATGCAGCTGCTGCGGACGGAGGACCACAAGTTCGTCCTGGGCCAGCACAGCCCCCCGTTCGACAACGTCCCCCAGGTCATCCACCACTACGCCAAGCACCGGCTGCCCATCCAGGGTGCGGAGCACATGACCTTGCTGTACCCGGTCGCCACGCAGCCGTCCCCCTGCCTCGTGGCGGAGCAGTGACCCCGCGGGGAGGACCGGCCGCCTGGCAGCACGCCTGAGCGTGGCGGGGGGCCCGGGATGTTTGGGCGCCTCCGGGCGGCAGTCCGGCCCGGAAGGAGGGTCAGCGTGGGGCACAGCTCGACCCTCTTGCATGCTGGGTGCCGTCCGGGTGCAAGCGACCCCCTCGTTCGCGGCTTGGAGGCCTGGGGTCGCAAAGCCACGTGGTCCCAGGGGCTCATTCGGGGCCGGTTCCCGCCGGCACGTTTCATCTGGATCGCGACATGTGTGATGCGATGCACGTGTTTAGTCCGGGAAGCGTCATCTTCTGGTTGCATTGTATTCTTTCACGGACGCAGTTTATGGATTTGATGGAGGGCGTCCAAAGCAGGCGCGACCCGAAGGGGGGACTTGTGGGCCGGCGAGCCAACCACGGACCCTCTCTCCGTTTCTCTGCTTGCTGGGGAACTGTTACTTCCTGCCTGGCTACTTTTCCAGTTTCCTCTCTGCTCCCTCCTTCGCTCCCTCTTCGCTCCATCTCTGTTGCAACTTCACACCTGGCCAAGCGGGGCTGATGGTCTCCTCAGAGCTGGTTTAACAAGCTGCAGGTGTTGGGTGGAGCAGCTTTTGTGCAAGTGGGTGGGTTGACCGGCTGCTGCGCACCGGGATGCACGCTTCACCTTGACTGTGGGAACAGCTCCGGCAAACCCCGGCCGTGTTTCTCTGGCGTGCAAGCGGACGGTGAAGTCCCGAAGGCTGGTGCCTGCTCACCCTCTCGCCACTGAGTTTTGGGAAGCAGGCAGACCCCAGAGCACCCATCAGCCCCCGCCCAGGCAAAGGCTCAGTGGACCCCAGAGGCAAAGCGTAAGTGTTTATGTGAAAGGTGGCAGGACCATTCCTCTGGGCTCAGTCGGAGAGAGCACCTGCTTGGCCTGCCAGTCCCGGGCATCTTGTCCCAAGCAGTCGGTGTGGAAGGCTGGGGAACACCAGCGGCCCACTGTGGCTGGAGTTGACCCTTCCATTCCTGGGCTGGATGGACCAAGCGCCTGCCCTTTCGTACGGCAGTTTCCTGTGTGAAGATGGGGAGCATCTGCATGTGTCGGGCACTTTGTTATGAAATTACCGGGATGCGTTGTGAAACCACGATTTGCTATGGGTTGGGTCGTCTTTGATTTCTGGCTTCCTCGAGCGAAAGCAAAATAAATAAATGGAATGCCGTGATCACTGCTATTTTTATTTCTTTATATAATGGTCATGCTTTTTATGTAACAAGGTGAGATGGGTGGAAAAAAGAAAGGCACATCTAGCCTGAAAGGACTCCAACAACTTCTAGAATTCTCTAGCTAGCAAATCTGGGAGTTGTTGGCCGTTTTTGTGTGCTAAAAGTCATTTCACAACACAAAAGAGCTCTTCCTATGTTGTTACGTTGCCAGGTGCTGTTCAGTTAGATTCCACTGTGCAGTTACATTAGAAAATAATGCCACCATTCCATTTTCCCCCAGTACACATTATCTGTGGATTTCCCTTTTTTTTCTAGGCATACTCCCACAGTGCGTACCCATTCCTGCTATTTCCAAGCATCAATGCACTAAGATTGGATGAGCCTCTTTCCAGTTTCTAGCCCATACTATTTTATCTGCCAGTAACAAATGTATAATCAATGACGTTTTAAGATTGGTTATAGCAAATTCAATTACATTAAAAAGAACCAATAAAGGAGGCAAGCGCCCATTAAAATCCAGTATCTGTGAAATAGTACTAGCCATTTGTAGCTGATAACTCTGGGCACTTGCACATACCCACCCTCTGTAGGGGAAATTACCCTGTCCAGCCATCCATTTCCCACATGTAACCCTATTAGCTGAATGCGCCCCATTTAGCCTGGCAGGGGTCAAGTACCGATGCAAAATCAACGTGCATCTCCACATAAACAAGCTCCTCCGAGGTTCATCTTGCGGCCTCCCACTGCACCCGCCGGGACGGCAGACCGTGCTTCCCTGGTGCCGCTGTCGAGCGTGAGTGCGGGGCCTGCTGGGGGCTCGCTGATGAGCCACGCGGCCTCCGTTGCCTGCCGAAAGAGGCCACCCCATCCTTTGTAGGGCCTGTGGGGAGGGGAAGGGGGAGATGGGCCAGATTCTCTGCTGCCACTGGGGGTTAATTGGCCAGGACGCAACCATTCGGAGGGGTAAGCAACCGACAGAAGTGGCGTTGGGGTCCTCATTATTGGGTGGGGGGGTTCTGCAGCTTGGTGGCTTGGCTACAGATTAGGCGAAGGATGCCGAACAGGTGAACGGCGGACCCTTTTCCAGGCCACGTGCCACCAGCAGGGGGTGGGCTCTCCCCACCTGGCCTCCCCGGCCCATGCTCAGCAGCTTCTCGTGCACCTTTGCACCTGTATGGAGGCAGATCCTTGCTGCCGCTCGCTCGCCCGCCCGCCTGCCCACGTCCGAGGCCTCGGCACACGCCTCGTGCAGACTTCTGCCATGGGGAAATCATGGGCTGGTGCCAACGGGACTTTAGTCGCTGAGGAATAAGAGGGTGAGGTGTGGGGAGCCCGCAGGGCTGCTGAGGTACCAAACTCCCTTCTTAAACGGGGAAGGTGGCAAGGCAGCGGCCTGGTGCAGCCCCAGAGCTGGGCATCTGCTGAGAAACGGGGAGCTGGGAGCTTGGGGGCTGCATGCAGGAACTACTGGCTTGCTAGAGAAGGGCTGGCCGGACTGCCAGGGGCCCCGGGGGGAGCTGGGGGGCACGGCGACGTTCGTATTGCTGTTTCTGCTGGCGGCCCCGCTGCGTCCTTGGAGGCCCTCTGCGTGTGGCTCCGCCAAGCGGTGGGCTGGCCCGGCCGGCTTCTCTGGGAGGCAGCCTTGGAACGGGGAGGCTGCCGTGTGGCTCTCCTGGAAGGCCCCAGCCTGGGGGAAACTGGCAGCTGCTCCTCGGCTTCCAGCCGCCTGGACATCTGGTGGGCTGGCACAGGCACCCTTGCTCGCCCGCGCGCCCCGAGTTCTTCCCCAGTGCTGCAGGCACGCGGGGGCCTGGCACGGGGAGGAGGTTCCCATTGACACGTCCCTCGAGCAGAGCCCCGCCAGTACCTGTCACGACTCGGCAGCCCATCCGTTGCCATGAGGGGGCTGTGGAACAGCTGCTCGGAGCTTGGAAGCCTGTTGCGGCTGCTGGCAGACAGAGGAACGCTTTCAGCAGTGAGCCCTTGGCTTGCAGGCAGAGGGGTGGCTGACACAGGCAGACGAAAATCTCCCTCTTCCCCCGTCCCGCCTCCGGTTGTGCGAGAACATGTTCCTAAAAGCTTCAGAGCGCAGGGATCTTTCTTGGCTCTCGTGGAACGTCGCAAGATGCCTTGGTGACAATGAGGGCCGTCGCTTCATTAACGCCTTCGCCTATCTATCTATCTGTCACATTTTTAGACTGCCCGATAGCGGAAGCTTTTTGGGCAGCTCACAACAATGCAAAACATAAAATTCCATATAAAATCAGGAATAAAAATGTCAGTGTTTAAGACTGTAGCATAAAATTAAAGTGAGAACTAGAGCAAAGGCTGGAGTAAAAGAACTGCGATCCTCGTTTCCCTGGCAATGCAGGTCTTTTCTGTCCGGACATGCACAGGGTTGTGTCTTGCATTAATCTCCATATAGAAACAATCTGTCAAGTGCAAAGGGCACCCAGGACCGCGAACGGGGGGGGGGGGTGTCCCGCCCAGCGCTCCCAGTGCTGCAACCTGAGCTTTCCTGTGCTGACCTGCAGACGCCTCCTCACGATCAAGAATCCCGCGAACGCGGGGCTTCCCAGTGGCTGCGTGGGCAGCAGGCCTCTGCTGAGTGTGCCTCGTCCTGATTTCCGAGTGGGGGGACTGGATCAAGGTCACGTTAGTCTGGGAAACAAGAATATCCCAAGAGGCAAAAGAATGGTGGGAAACCGCACCGGAGTTTCAGGCTGCCGAGCCTGAGGATCAGGTCTTACAAAAGATCCTTCTCTTCATGGGCAGAAACGGAATCATGCTCTGAACTAGGTTCACTTGCTGGACTTCCTACTCATTCCAACGCGGAGATCTTTCCAGATATAAAGCCCTAAACGACTCAGGAGCGGGTACCTGGAGGAGTGCCTCCTCCCCCGTGTGCCTGCCCCCCCCCCGGGAAGATCTGCATCGGAGGCCCTCCTTTGGGAGCCCATCTGAAGGAGATGGGGGGGGCACCCCGATTGCAGGGCCTTCCCTGCAGTGGCGCCCGAAGGCAGAATGCGCGGCGGGGAGGGGGGCCTGGCGCCACTTCATCCTTTCAGGGCCAGGCCAACCCCTTCTCGTTTTCCCAAGGTCTTAAGGTTTTGACTGTTGCTTAAACGGGGGTCTTATCGAGCAGGAGGAGCAGCTCCGCTTCCCGCAGGAGGGCGCGCGCCGCCCGGGCTCGCCGCGCTCTCATTGGCGCAGGCCGGCGCGCGCCGCCACGTGGGCCGCCGCCGGCCAGGGCTCGCGCTCCCCGCAGGGCGCCCCCTCCCGCGGCTGCGCTCGCGCGGCGCGCGTCACGTGACCCCCGCGCCGCGCATGCGCACGCGCGCGAGCATCTGGGC